CCAGTTTTATACATTTTGCTGCATATGACATAATTTCATTCTTTCTGGCCAAATAATACTGTATTAAATATATGCTCTTAATCCATTTATCTTTTGGTAGTGAATGATCTTTTAATGTGCTATTTCTCATTTTTTAGGTGTAGATGGACACAACACAATGCCTTTACTTGTTTATGTGGTACTGAGGATTGAACCCGGGTCCTGCCCATGGTAGGCGAGTGCTCTACCGCTGAGCCACAATCCCAGCCCCTATTTTTCAGAATTTCAATAAGGATTTTTGCATCAATGTTCATCAAGACTATTGGTCTTGTTCTCTTTTTGCTTTTGTTCTTGTCTCCTTATCCAGACTTGTTATCAGGGTGATACTGTCTTCATAAAATTGAGTTTGAAAAGGTCCCTTTCCTTTCTATTTTATGTAACAGTTAGGGGAGCATTAGTTTTAACTCTTCAAAGTCTAGTAAAATTCAGCAGTGAATCCATACAGTCCTTGGCTTCTTTGGGAGACTTTTATTATTATTCCAATCTCATTGTTACTGATCTACTTATAGATCATCTTGGTTCAGTTTTGGCAAGTCTTTTGTGCCCAGAAAATTTATTCTAGATTTTCCAACTTATTGACATAGTTTTTCAAAATATCCCTTAATGATCCTATGGATTTTAGAGGTTATCTGTTGTAATATACCCTTCTTCACCTCTAATTTTACTTTGTTTTTCTCTTTCTCTTAGTTTAACAATTTGTCAATTTTGTTTTCTTTTCAAAGAAACAACTCTGTTTCATTGAACCTTTGTATTCTTTTTGTCTCTATTTCATTTATTTCTATCCTGGTCTTTGTGATTTCTTTCCTTCTACTGATTTTAGGTTCAGTTTGTTCTTATTTTTTTGAAGACCTTGAGATGCATCATTAAGTCATTTAGAAAATCCTGAATTTTAAGGTATTCAGGGAATCTTACTATACTAGGTAACATTTCTGTACAAATACCCTGGCCAACTCTTGACTTTGATCTCACATGATATGAAACAAAGTCCAAAAATCATTTTTTCTAAATAAAATATGGTTTGAGTTATTTTTACTTCTTAGAAACAGGGAAAGTCAAGTTTGACTTTCCAGTGTGGATGTGTCACCAGAAAGAGAAAGGTCAACAGAGAATCCTTCAATATTCCCTTTTAACACTTTGTTGTTATCTCAAAAGGGAAGCATCAGGAGCATCACAGCTTTTCTAGAGGTAGAGTTCATGGTTTTGGAACATGACTTTGTCCCCATGAAATTTTTATCCAATTTTCTTGCCCACAAGAACTATATTGTTTTTAAAGATATCTTCCTTTTTAGCTATCTATATCACTAAGCATCCTTGCCCAAGGTCTCAAAGACCATGTCAGATCCCCTCTGCTGAGTTTTTAGAGGGTAATAAGTGATAGAAGTAGAAATAATTATAATTTGTTGACATCTTTCCTTCAGACTCACAGAAAAAATTAAATGGGCAAATACATGAAGTTATGTAAAAGTTTTTGTCTTTCCATGGTCCTACCAAATATAAAATCCAAATTCAAACACACTGAATCCATTACTGAAAAAAATATGAAGGCTGGGGTTATAGCTCACTGGTAGAGTGCTTGCCTCACACATGTGAGGCACTGGGTTTGATCATCAACACCACATAAAAATAAAGATATTGTGTCCATCTACAACTAAAAGATTTTTTAAATATGAAAATAAGTTGTAGCACCAGAGAGATTTGTGTCTGGTGCCCTCCTGGAATGCCACAACTTCCTTTCCAATGCCCCCTCCTGGAATCCTACCACCATCCCACTTGGGTATTATACCAATGGTGTTCTCTGTGCACCTTAATGATTTAGTGATCCTTTCTTTCTTCCCCATTCCTCACCTCCATTTCCATGATTATTCTTATATGTACCATTATTCAGAAGCCACCCCTCTTGACCTTCTATCCTTGTCCCCTTGGTTTCCAATCTTCTAGCCATGCAGTGTCTTCTCTCTTCTATCACAGAGGAACTGGAACTTCCAAAACTATCCAAGTCAATAAATTCAATCCATTTTAAATTTTTTTCAACATTTAATTATTTGACTTTCAAAAAATGGAAGTTTATAAAGTAAAAAGTTCTGTATTTCATAGCCCCAACTGTACCCCATAGCACTCATTGGCAGAGATGAGTGCACTCTGCCTAGTTAATGCATTATTTGCTGAATGTCTTTCCAGACCTTTTCTATACTTACTCAAACATAAATCTACAAACATACATACCAACTATGTATATACACTAATAGGATTTTTAAAGGAATTTTGTATACAAAAATAAAAAGTGACTCTAATATAGTTTGCAGTATTTTATTCTGTCATATATTTCATGCTTCTGTGATCCCTTTCCCCATGACTCAAGTTTCTCCCATGTTCAAAAGAACTCTCTCTAAACCACATATCCAGTCACAATCAATCTTTGTCCTTAAAAAGAGCTTCCCCTCACTGACTCCACTTCTTCACTTCCCATTCACTCAGTCCTTGCAGTTTGGCTTCTACCCTACCATGCCCCTGAATTTGACTGAAGATCCAAAGTAAATGCAAGCCCAATGGACATTTTCAGCTTTTATCTCTCAGGGCCCCTCAGCCTACATGACCTTCTTTTTTTGATTCATCCCCTATTCAAACGTTACTAATTACTTTATTGCCTCCAGTAATCTCCAACTGGGGATGATTTTAACCTTTAGTGGATATGTGGCAACATCTGGAGTCAATTTTGTCTACCGTGACTGAATAAGTGGGGTGGGTACCACTGGCATCTAGTGGATAGAGGCTAGGGAGTCTGCTGAACATCCTACAATGCATGGTCAGTCCCCCACAACAAAGAATTATCCAATTCTAAATGTCAGGAGTACTGAGGTTAAGAAAATCTGCATAGAAGGAAATAAACAAACATGAAGGCATTTCTCAAATGTACAGGCTAAGTATCTGGCCCCCATTTGGATGGTGATTGTCCACACCCTTCCKAACAGGAGACAGCCGAAAGTCACATCTCTGCTGGATGTCCCAGAGCCATGGCAGCTTTCTGGTATGTAGGTCCACAGTCCCTTGGTGATGTCCAGGACTCCTCCAGTCATGTCTCATTGTGCTCCAGTTGCACACCTCCTCCCCATCCTTCCACCTGAGGGCTAAAGCACACTTTTAGCCCCCTTCAACACAGCTTATGGTCACCAGGGGGAAAAGCAGACCAACCTCCCAYCCACCCCCTTCCCCGACTCACTCTCATCTTCCTCCCACCTCTCCCCCTCCCACTGGAGGTTGATTTCCCATTGGATATGCTTCTGTTCTATTTCACATTTATGAATTCACTGAGAGCTTTATAGCCAGATTCCTTTACCACATTTTTCCTGGTGGTGGGTTGGAGGAGAGAATGGTCTAGATGAGCATACCCTGAATACTATGAGTTTCTGACTCACCTTGGCAGTGGTATGAATTCAGATCTGTCTCTGGTTTCATCTACTGATGAGTGGGGATGATTCTCCTGTCATGAGACTGTGCAGTTATAGGAGTCCTTGCCTGCAGCTGGTGCTGCTGGCATCTTTTGTATGCAACCCTGTGGGGATTCTCTTAGGGGTGGTGAATTTCTGCTGTGTTATTTTGATCCCAGTATAAACCTATGGTTACCCACCCCCCAAGCTTTCTTTGATTTTTCTTGTGATTTAACTCCCCCAGAACATGAGCCATCCCTATTCAGTTCATTCTTGGGGACTCCTGGGATGCAGGAATTCTCACTACTCGCCAAACCTTGATGGAACTCCCCAGCCAGTTTCAACAGTTTCTTTAATGGTCTGTTGCTTGAAATTTCTCTGCTGGTACTAGTTTCTGACTGGGAAATAATCAGGTTCTCAAGAATAGGAACCTACTCAAGTTAGCTTAAAGAAAAAGGTATCTGGGGCTGGGGTTGTGGCTCAGTGGTATCACCCTCATCTGGCATGTGTGAGGCACTGGGTTCCATCCTCAGAACCACATAAAAATAAATAAGTAAATAAAATAAGGTTATAAAAATAAAATACTATCTGGGTAAAGTGGATCCTCATGTAGCATGATTGCAAGATGTGAAAGGAGTTGCACCACAACCCGTCTCTCCAGCTCTCTGGAGTCACTGGATCAACTCTTCTATGCCTGTCTGCATCCTGGGACCTCACATTCGTGTCCTGCAAAAGATACCTCTGTAAAGCACCCAGTTTTTCTCCCCCATAGTCAGGGCCAGGCCTCAGCTGTGGCCTCAGTGTTTGTGGCTATGACCCAGGCCTCAATAAAATAACCCACTGCTTCACTGACCAACTCCATCATTACTATGGCATCTACCTCTCAGTGCACATGATCTAGCCTGGGAATCTGTGTGGCTCAGGATGTGTCAAATGACCACACTTAACTATATAAGGACTAGGCGGGGAAAGAGGGTGGACTTTTATATACATGACTGTGCACATCCACTAGACACTAGAGTGGGGAGACAGACAGGTGTTCACATGTGTGCATGCACACACACACACACACACACACACACACACACACACATATACACACACCCAAAAGCTGCAGTAGATCTAGGGTACTGAATGACCCTCTGGAATAAAAAGGGGTAATCAAGTTGGGTATGGTGGTACACACTTATAATACCAACTACTCAGGGGGCTAAGGCAGGAAGATCACCAGTTAAGGTCAGCCTGGACCATTTAGCAAGACTCTGTCTCAAAATTAAAAAATAAAAATTGAAAGGGCTCAGAATAGAGCTCAGGGGTAGAGCACTCCTGAGTTCAAGCTCCAATACTGCAACAACAAAACTAAACAAAAAACAAAAACAAAGGTAATCAAACCATGTCTTTCCTTCCACCATCTACACCCTCCCCACCTCTCATCCCTCACCTCCATTCCACCCCTTCCCTCCACCTCCCACCCACCTCTGAAAATTGATTTCCCACTGGGATATGTTTCAGTTCTATTTCATATTTCTGAATTCACTAAGGGCTTTGCAGCCAGATTCCCCTCCCACAGCGGAAGCAACTTTCCCTTCGTGAAAAGTTCACAGCTTTACACCAAGGGCAGTCCCAATCCCCAGGCCGGCGAAAAACCGGAGGTTTTCTCTGCTGATGGGATTCAAAGTCTTTCCTATTAAGTGTTTCTGGAGGGTCTAATCCCTGGGCCCCCATATCAGACCACCAGAGGCTAACATCAAAGGCTGAGCTGTGGGGAAGCATCTGAGTTGGAGCAGGTGCTGTGACCATGCCTGTTGGTGGGGATGGTAAGGGTGAGGCTGGGAAGGGGGACAAAGGGGATGAATATGAGTAAGAGAATGAGGCAGGGAGCTGAACAGGGAGGGGTTCTGATGAGGCTATGGACCCAGGATTCAGGGTCCCAGCAAGAGAAAACATGGTATTTTCCATGGATCTGTGTTCTCCCTCCCTCTGCCCACCAGAGGTGTAATTTTTTGGCTCAGTAGTTCTGAGAAGCTGCAGGAAGCTCCCACCCAGCTCCTGTTCGGCCTCCATGGGGGCGGCTCCCACTGTATCACTCTCCTCTCCTCTTCTTCCTCCTCCTCCTGTAGCATCATCTGCAGCAGCTGTTGCTTCTTCCATCTCACCTGTTACTTCGGTCCCTGCCCCTCTGGCAGTGGCCAAGCCTGGCCCCTCTACAGCCTTGTCTGGGAGGGCCCTCAGCTCCTGGAGATAAGTGGGCAGGGCTGGAATATGTTCTGTGGGAAAGTCAGGGGGCAGACCTACTATTGGGGTAGGGGGTGGGGCAAGGATGGTGGGGTAATCTTACCGCCCTGAGAAGCTTCCACCTCAGTAGATCCCGCTCTTTCTGCACCTCTGCCAGTTTGGTCTGGGCCAGCCGCAACTGGAAGGCAGCCTCCTTGCGTTCCATCTCCTGCTGTGCTCCAAGCTGCTTCAAGTCTGAGGCCAGGGCATGGGCAGCTGACTTGTGTAGTTTGGCAAAGTCCTGTAGCCACTGCACCCTGCGTCCCTGTAAATGCCCCTGCCTGCGAGCGAAGCGCACACCCAGAGCCAGGCTGCTCCAAGCGCAGGCTTCCTGGGCCTGGCTGGACATCTCGCTGTCCTCCAGGATGGTTCTGATCTTATCTTCCACTTCCTCCCAGGACAAGGTTAGATTGTCAAGGTAGAACTCAGGGCCTTTCACGTGCCTGGCCATCTTCTCGTTGATGAAGGCCACAACCTTGCCATGGCGAAACCCACTACAGGGGTCGTCAGGTTTCAAGGCCATGATATTTCAGGACCTTATGGCTTCCTGGTCCCTGGGAGATGGATCAAACATTTTTTTTCCTTTTTATTTATTTATTTTTTGTGTGTGCTGGGGATCAAACCCAGGGCTTTGTGCATGCAGCTGAGCTATATGCCAAACCGCGGATCAAACATTTGCTGTGTTCTTCACCTTCAGCCTTCTCCCTCACCCCTAGTCCTCTATCCCCATCCCTACCCTGTTACCCTTAGTCCCCACGCCCACCCCTGAATCACCTGTAGCCTCCCACTCTAGTTGCCCTTAGCTCCCCACCCATACTCACACCGCCATGGCCCTTAAAGTCTCTCCTCTCACCCATACCCACCACCCGCATGGCCCATAGCCTTACCCCATGCCTTCAGTCCCCTCCCCCACCCTTAGCCCCTCCCCTCCCTTCAGTCTCCTCCCCTTTCCTTGGCTCCCCACCCCTCTCTTCTCTGTCCCACCCCTCGCTTCTCTGTCCCACCCACTCATAAAGAGCCGCCTCTGCCTCGGTCCCCTCATAGAACGCTTCCCCCCGGGCTCACCAGAGTAGATACAGGGCTACCACAGCCCTCTCCCAGGGAGAAAGGGGTCCCTCTCGCTCCGAGGGCTCCGGGAAAAGGGAGCCACGCGGCCAAATCTCTAGGCTTTTACTCTAGGACTGTTCCAACTCCCAGAGACTGCGGGGGTGCCGAGGAGGGAGAGCGGAAGGTCCCGCCCCCTCCTGGGCTCCTAAGGGAACCCACCACATGGCTGAAAGCCATCGAAGGCGGGAAGAAACGGGACTGGTTAGAAAAGACCCAGAATGAAGAAAATGAAGCTCTCAGAAGTCAGTCCAAAAGGTCCCGCCCCACCATGATGGTTTGTTCCACGCCTGGTGAGCCCCCTCCAATACTTGGAATATTCTAGAACAGGAAGTAACTCCAACACCTCTGTGGCATCAAGTAGCCCCGAAGGAAGAGGGGTGGAGGAGAGGAGCTAAACTTAAGAATGCAAAGGATGAAAACATTCCTTTCATTTCCCTGATCCTATGTACCTTTTGGCCTGCAAATTAATTTGCCGAGAGTGGTTAGAAAAGACACAGAATGAAGAAAACGAAACTTTTGTACAAGTAACAAAATACCGAAACCCCTCCTTCCCGACATATATTTATCTAACCCCAGAGTATGTTAGGACCCCTAGAGGTAGCGTGTTCCAGTCAGGGAACATCTCCAACCTCTCAGTGGCCTCTGGCGCCACCCCCTGTAGAAAATTTCTGTAGCTCCTGTTCAGACTATTGAATTCCCTCCAATAGGAAGTTTAGTTAACATTTTCTGTAAAGGAATTGAGAGTAATTATTTGAGACTCCAGGGAAAAAGAATATATATCCCAACTACGTGCCATAAAACAGTAGCCATAAATAATACCTGAAGGAATGAGTGTGTTCTGTGTTCTGGTAAAATTTTATTTAGAATAGGCAGTTGGCATGATTTGGCCTAACTCCTGCTCTATATTCCCATGTCATGAGTGTCCTAAAGACCTCTCAAATCAGAATGTTCTTAATGTAACTCAACACTCTTTGTTTAAAAGTTTAAAGTTCAATGAAGTTTATTTGAGCAGAGAATGATTCATGAGTCAAAATTCTCCTGAATTTTGGAGAGATTCAGGAGTGATTCAGCCTGAGCAGTGAGATTTCTAGGGCAAACATAAAAATAGAGAAACCACCTGATTATAGCTAGGCAATCTGCCTTATTTGGGAATGATCTGATTGCTTGAATTCATGTGATTGGCTGAGATACAGCTGATTTTGATTGGTGCAAACCCGGCTGTTTGTTATTCTTTAAAATTTGAGTTTTTTAATATACCAAATTTGTTCATAGCTTAGGTAAGGACTCAAAATATAGAAACAGTCTCAGGTCAGTGACCTCCTACTTATTCCTATGTTGTGCAATATAGAAGTCTTGGAAAAAAAAATACCTAACTAACTCCCCAAAATGTAGGAAACAAATTGGTCACCATACCCTTTGCTAATACCTTAGAAACTTCTTTGATATCTGTTCACATTTAGAGATTGCCCATATTGTTTTTTAAATATTGTTCCTGTCTTTAATTTCCTCCTAATTCCTAATTGCTTCTAGATTTTTTTCTATGTTCATGTTACTCCTAAGCTTAAAAATATATGATGGCTTCTTATGTTACACTCTTTGTCCTGATATTAGAATCTTTCTACAGCTTGCCTTTGGGATTTAATACTCTCCATTATCTTCTCTGCTATTATTAATACATCCCAAAGGAATAAGTCATGAACAGATACACTTATTTTGTGTTTTGCATTATCTATCCCTGGAAAAATCAGGTTATTCATCCTTTATTATTCAGCATTATGTTTTATTCTGTGAACTACATTGAAAATGGTAGTATTTATCCTATATGGTAGTAAAAGAGAAAAAAAACAATCAGGCATTAAAATATTACCTAAGAGGGTAATTGAATACCAAAGGTAGAGAGTTTCCCTGATTTAACCTTCTTTTAAAATACTGTCTTGTATTTTCTTTACATTTAATCTTTTGTATTTATCAGCCATCAGTAGTCATGGTTCATAATTTGGTTTTAGAGTGATTTCTGAAAATGAACTTTTGAGGAGAAGTGGGAGAGACAAGTGATAGGGAGGATCATTAGGGAGCTGTCACAATAATTCAAGAGGTAAATTGAGGTGCTAGATGTAGAGATGGAGAGAAGAATGCAGAGAGTCATTTGTCCAGTTTAAACATGGACTTTAGGTGGAATTCATTAGAGATGTTAGGGATGAGAGTTAGGAAATGCCTAAGATAATTTCCAGGTTTCTCGTATAGGGGACTAAGAAGATAGACTTTGATGGAAAATGAAGCAGTTGGTTAGAGTTAGTTTACCTTCAGATAGATAGATAGATATAGATATAGATATAGATATAGATATAGATATAGGTATAGGTATAGATATAGATATAGATATAGATATAGATAGATGGATGGATGGATGGATAGATAGATAGATAGATATTGCGGTAACCTGTTGGGTGACCTGGTAGAGATACCCAGTCAGCAGTTTGAGTCTAAAGCTTAGGAGAGATATCAGGGTTAGAATTATTATATTGGGAGGAAGAAGTTGAATTCTTGGTAGTGTTTGAAATAACATAGGGAGAGGAAATAGAGTGGGAAGAGGCCTGCCTTATGAATCTCTTTCTTTCTATCAGGGTCCTGACTTTGGTGGTTTAATAGTTATCTTATTCTTTGTCTTCTATTCTTCTAATGTAAGAACATCTTTTACCCTATTTTTCTTTGATTAGAATTTAAATGTTGACTTCAGCTTGAAATCAGTTTTCTCCATATGCTGCCATCATTTCACTTCTGCTGAATAAACATCTTTTTTTCACATGGCTAAAGAATTGAAGAAGGGAAAAAATCAAAAGAGAGGGAGATCTGTTATAAAATTATTTCAGTGCATAAGCAGAACTTTATTAGGGTTTGAACTATGGAAGAATCTAGATGTCAGAAGAGTACACAATTTTTAAAATTTGAATTAAATTTATTTTTTATTTTTTTAAAATATTTATTCTTTTAGATTTTTTTTAAGTGGACAGTATCTTTATTTTACATTTACGTGGTGCTGAGAATTGAATCCAGTGCCTCACGCATGCTAGGCGAACGCGCTATCACTTGAGTCACATCCCCAGCCCCTGGATTAAATTTATTTTTAACTACCGAAACACATGTAAGTGGGGTAGCATGATGTTTTGATACATGTATCCATTTTATAATGTTTAAATCGAATTAAATTTATATACCTCCTCAAAAATTTACCATTTTTATGGTGAAAACATTCAAAATCCTTTCTAGTAGTGTTTTGAAATGCATAGTACATTTTTGTTATCTGTTGTCACCTTACTGTGAAATAGCACACCAAAACTACTAGCTTTATCTAATAATATCTTAGTACTCACTGATCAATCTTATTCTGTCTGTCCCCTTAGGACAGATTTTGAAACAGAATTATCATGACTTATTAACCAGTTTTATAATAACAATAAATATGGGAAGATGGCATGGAGGGTGATTTTGAGGTATCTGGTGAAATTTGGTGTTATGATTAGTGATGCCTCTAACCATAGTATAGAAGGAAAATTATACTATAGGAGACAGATGAGTTGAGTTTGGATTGATAAGTACCTCATGACAGTTATATTGACTCTTAGATGACTCAACTGGTCTGTAATGTAAGAGAGAGAACATAACTGGAGATATGTATTATAGCTTTGGATGGTTCCAGTGCTCAGTTGTGGCTAGGATCCAGTGCTTAAGAAGGTTAGGTGGGGAGAAAAAAGTGAAACAGAAAAAAATCCCACTAAGGCCTAGGGAATAGTGGTCAATAATTTGGGAGTAAACCAAGGAAAAATAATAAGAAATAGAAGTGGTAGGAAAGAAGTAGAAAAAAGGAGGGGGATAGTTTTAAACTAAGAGATTTTGAAGGTGAAATGAGTGTTACTCTTTTCAAATAATACATGGAGGTTGGATTGGATTAGGTCTATATTATTAGCCAAACCTAATTAACAAAAGGTCATCCAGTTCACATAATAATGATTCTACTGATTAGCAAAGCAATAGAATGATATGGCAGAAGTCAAATGATATTGGGCCATAGAATGAAGTTAGAGGAGCAAGTATAAATAGTGAATATTGACAAGTCTTTCAAGGTCTCTGAAACTGACAGCTATGGTGGCATAGACAGAAGTCAGAGAATAGATCATGGAGGCATAGGGCATAATAGATTAGTTGCTAAGACAATTTAGTTATGAAATTTTCAACAGAAAGTCAGGCAAGGTAGGTAATCATATGTAAAGAAAACTGTTTTTGAAGAGTTTGAGATGTAACTTGGGTAATTGACAAAATCTTTGTCAATGTTATGAGGAAAATTATAAAACAATGTTATTAACAGATACAAAATATCTGTAATGTAAGTATGAACCAATGAGGAGATAGGAATAGAGT